TGACGCAGCTTGTGTTATAGCTTTGAGAACTGGGAAGTCAACAACGTGTGTGTCTATGGGTGAGTGTGTGTGTGTACACACCCACCCACACACCTATCTAAGCTGATATGCAGCTTATTGCATATGCACATGGATATACATATACATAGGTCATACCTTTAATACCCCTGTCATAGGCCAGCATCCCTAGCTGAATAACATCTCCCATGAACCTATGTGTTGTGTCTCCTGACAACATGAGAGATGCCTCCAGAGAGTCATTGAGTCTCCTTATTGTCACGATTTCCATGACCTCTGTGACTGCTGCGACACAATTTTAGCCTCAACTCAAGCTCAAACAGAAGATAGGAGCTGGCTGAAGAAATTAGCCTCTTTGGTGCTCTGGCGTGTGTCAAATTAGACACTGATGATTGTCCCTCCTGGCTCTTGAGATCAATGAATCTATATTTACATTTGCACCTAAATATTTTCCAGTCAAATACATGCATTCAAAAGACTGGGAGAAAGCTGTGTTTTTAAATCCACAATATTCTCTGGTATTCCTACAAGCTAATTTTCTATTCTGGGTTGTCTCCTGTTCATTGAGTTTCTTGGGTCCAAGTTCTGACCAGGATTTTATCACGGAGCAGAAATGTACAGCCGACATCTAGCAATAGCGAAAAATGCTACGCTCGTCCAAGGTTGACAATGCAATTTAATTTGTTTCGAACTTTCAGGCATCTAGGAGTACAGCCAAGCCTCTGTGTCACTGGGAGCAGTGGAGGACAGGAAACCAAACTAGTTTTAAGATGAAGCTTGCTCAGTCTCTGAAGGGGATCGTGGGATGTTCTTGCCTTTGATAGCTGGGGATTGGGCTTGATGACGCAGGGAGTCTCTTCTGGGCTTAGGTGTAAAGTCTCGGGAATGGCCGTCTCTCCTAGGAAGGTAAGGAACAAACGAGCGGGGCTCACGGCACATCAGGGTCATGACTCATTGCCAGAGCTGTAGGAGCACTCAAAGGGCAATGGCAAGGCTGACTGAGGGACCGGACTGAGGTGCTCTGGAGCCCAGAGTAGGGAGGTCTCGGTGTAGAGCGAGCGTGTGCTTGCAGAGCGCACGGGGAACCCGTGCCAAAAACGCTGCAGGTGCGGCAGGTCCGGATTAAAGGGCAGGGGTAAAACAATGAATGGGGAAGCATGCTGAGTGAGCACCTCTTATTAACTGCACTGAGATAGCTCCCCAGAGCACCCGTCCCGGACCAGTGCCAACCATGCCAGGCACCGCATGTGCAAACACAAGCAGAAGACTCCAGGGCTGGCTTTCATTGCTCATTGCCTCTCACTTTTACACACCATACTGTAGATGCAGTCTCGCTGGAGACACTTCAGATCCTGGCAGTACCTGGAAGTTGTCTGTCCACAGCAGCGTGGAGTTCAGCATTGGCTAATTTACCCTCCTCCATGCTGCCACGGCTAGACTGCTACCAGGGCCTGAGCCAGTGCATAGCTCCGGTGTCTCTGCACTACACCGCCTGCAACGTGGATGTGTCCTTCCTTGGGGCAGCTGAGACTGAGCAGCTCCAGCAGCAAAAAGCGTCAGCCTTAAAAACACAAAGCCCATAGGTATGACCTTGTGGCATCCTCTGCTGTAAGGATCCATGGCACTTCTTTGTGATGGCCCTTAGGTCTGGGCCTCCACGGTGCCCTTGCGATCACTGCCAAGACATGAGTCCCTCCTTCTCACCAAGCTCACTGTCCTGGAGGCATCCCTCACCACCACTTCAATGCTGCAGAGAAAAACCAACTCACTCACCAGTATCCCTTCATGCAGTACCTGAGTTGTCGCCCTTAAGGGACCCACTTGATTTAGCCCTGCTTAATTCATGCGACATAACAGCAGCCCAGCATGTGCGGGGTGTGTGTGCAGGTACCATGAGACCATGAGGCACAGTACAGATCAATTCTGCTCTAACAATCCCTTTTGCTAACCCACTTTTCTCCATGCAGACTAATCCCAGGCTGTTACACTCAATACCAGGAGAGAAGAAGCATCTCCAAATAGCGCTGACATATTTTCTATCATGCACTTTGCCTTAACCAGCACTGATAGCTTCCCCGCAACATTTAGCTCTCTCTTGAGGCTCAATAGGTGGACCCAGTGCTTGTGCCCTCATGTCCTGAGAAAGCTTCATAATCGTGCATCTGAGCTCAGTGTCACTGCAATCTCATCCATCTAAATGGGAATTTTAATAACAGAGGCTGAGCCTCCCTTGCCTTCAGCTCCTTTCTTCTCTGGTTGGGACCACAGCTGCCTCTTCACCTCACACTTAACATACCATATTTCTGCTGAAAGTTCATGCAGCCAGGCTGACCCAGGGGCTACAAACTGATTCAGAGCCGTGATGCAGGCTGTTGTGTGAATCACAGACTCAGGGGATGGTAGTGGGGTCACAGGCAGAAAATACATGACGGCGATAAGACCTCATGCTCCAATAACAGCAGTCTGGATCGTGCCCATTTAAAGACAGCCTGCACAGTCATTTCTGGAAGCTGCAGTCTTCGGTGCCAGCCTCAGCTGCTCCATCAACCCGTGAGCTCTGGCGAGGACCTGCAAAACCAAGCACTGCGGGAAGCAAAGGCACGGCCGCTAAGGCTGGAAAGGTTGCTTGGGAGCGTGACGGTGTGTGTGCCGTCTCCCTCCTTCCTCTCATGGCTTCTCCTCATAGGAGCACAACACTAGGAGGGCGCTCCCAAGCCATTGTGTCCAGTTCCCCATTGGGCTCATTTGTCCACAAGAGTCTCCATGCCAGCTCTTCGCACACACCACAGCTGCAGAAACACCAATGCAAACCATACCATGTGGCACAAGTAAAGAGCAAGGAAGTTGAGGTCACCTGCAGCCCATCCTCTGGCCTCCGCACGCTACCTGGTGTGTCCCCGTGCTCAGCATGGCACCCACCGACCTACAATTCAATGCTCTCCGCTTTCCTTGGCCATCTCCCCCTGCCACTCCCAGGCTCCACAAAGCCTGGCTCCATCCAGAGGTGGATGCAGCTATATGGCCTGTTATATGGCAACTTTTCCATTAAGAGGTTTCCTCTAGGGATGAAGGAGTTTGCTTCAACCCCGTTTATTAGCAAACCAATTGCCATTATAATGGCACTATAATGGCATTATAATGGCATAATCACTGCCTGCTACATGCTCACAGATAGGGCTCACAGATAGGGAGAGCGTTTCAGCTTGGGGCTGCGGGCTGCAGGTGCCAGACGTGACCGTGCTGCCGGACTGTACGTGGGCACAGTTTAGAGACTGCCACTATTACAATGGGCGCAGCCGTGTTCCCCAAGAGCGAACCGAGCGAGCCCAGCTTTTCCTTCCTTGTGCCTTTGAAGCTCCTTCGTTCTACCAGCCACCCTGAATGCATCATTTCCAGGAAGATCATTAATTTAGGTCAGAAGCCAGCTCAGATCCCAGAAATGCCACAATAAATGCATAGCATTTAGTATTTAAAAAATTCAGGCAGGCAGGTCATTGGACAGAAGTGGCCGCTCGTCTCAGAAAGCACTGCTTCTGAAGTGCCAATGGTCCCTCACGATAAGGGAAGATCAAATCAGCCTCCCAACCGCTTCAGCTATCACCGGTCTGGTCTCGCTGCTGCACCCCGAGCCTGGAGGTGTCGTACGTTAATGCGACACTCCCCTGCTCGGAGAATCAGTGTGGCAGGCTCCTGGAATTGGATGTGTCTCACATATTTCAGAGCGCAGCCTCGCATATCTGCGACCCAGCTGCTGCCCAGCCATGTGCTCCATTAGTGTCCATCGCACAGGGAATGAGGTCTCCGCTCTTCCCTCCCCGAATCTCACAATTTAGCAATGCGTGCCTGGGTGGCAGCCAGAGCCATGCCAGGCGCCAGCAGCATCAGAAGGATGCGATGCAGAGAGTAATGGCACCAACCTGGGCTTTGGGAGATATGGGTTGCGTGATGCTGGGGACATGCACTGTCTGCGGGGTACGGGGCAAGTCTCAGGCACCGAACTCCCATGGAGAGCAGTGGGAGTGAGGCACGGAAATGCCTTTGCAAAATTAGGCCCTTATCTCTCTGTGCTTGCCTGCCTTGTAGGGCGTCATGAAGAGTGTGAAGTGCCCAGTTACCAGAATAACGGGGCCTGCTGAGTCCTATCAAGAAACAATAGCAGGGCCAACCTGTCCCTCCACCTCTCCATTAGGAGAGCTCTAGTATCGTTCAGCTCCATCTTCCTAGACTCTCAGTTAATGCGACTTGGGATGGGTATGTGGATGTGTGATGTGGATGCTTGTGGGCTGGGAAGTGGAGTGATACACCCCTTCCCACTAGCATAGGGTGGTGATGGTCTGCAGGCCCCAGCAGCCTCCAGGTGAAAGGCTCCGGGGTCTATCTCTAACACCCAAAGCCTCCTCTTATGGCATGACAGGGCTGCGAAAGAATGATTTTGTATTGCATTGGAAATCTCTCTTTCTCTGCCGCACACACACGCATGTGCACACATATGCACACATGCTTATAAACCCATTTGCTTTCAGTCTTGACAGTCTGAAGCCCTGAGCACGTTTATCGGTCAGCAAAGCCGCTGGGCATGGCGGGGCAGGCAGCATTCCCCGAGAGAGCGCTCAGCACCTTCGCAGGATTACCCCCCTCCCCTGTGACACCGCCGGTCCTTGTGGCGTGATGCCACTGGACGCTGATTGATGACCTTTGTCATGCGGACCCTGGCAAAATGGGCTGCTATTGACCAGCTTTCTCAGGTTTTCCCAGAGAGAAAGATAATTAGCAATCAGCTTTTCTTGGAGATTGTGATCAGCTGTAGACACCACATTGAGACGCTGAGATTAAGTGGGACGCACTGCCTGGTCAATACTAATCAGCCTCTCCAAAAATGCCAGGGAATAAAACTTTCCTTCCAAGCACCCTTTTCACAGAGGCTGGTGAAAGAGCAACACCAGGCTGGGAAGGTGGGAAACGCATCTCAAAGGAGGGGAGAAGAGCAGCGCACATTTAAGCGACTGCTGCACCTTAAAGGTATTTAAAGGGACCCCGGTAGAGCCATCCTTCCCTTCCTCCTTTCTTTTATTCTTTCTTTCAAGCCTTTCAAACCTTTCAAGTGTTAGTACGTGCCCATCCCCAAGCTCTGGAGCAGAATTCCTCTCTTCATCTGCTTCTCTAGCATTGCCCCAGTCCACGAGTTTCAAATAGGCAGGAGTCTCCTGTGCCAAAGCGTGTGATGGGTGGAAATGGCTCCTGTGTAAGGCAGTTCCCCCACCAGCACTGGACCCACCAACACCATGATCCCTCCTAGGCACAGGAAGCAAACTGGGGACAAGGAACTGGTAAATCAGGGGCCAGCCGAGAGCAGACTGGGGAAGGGACAGGGCTGTGGCCTTCATACCAACTAGACTGTGTTTCCCGCGGCCCAGAGAGGATTTTGCAGAATAGAGTAGATCAAAACCTGGTTTGATTTATGCTGCGGGTTGGGCAGGCCCTGAATCTGGGGAGGGAAGAGTGGAGTAACGTCCCCCCATGCTCCTCCTGTCCTGGGTGGGGGACAGCTCCTGGGAAAAGGGGCTGGAGCAGATGCAGAAGAGGAATGCAGTAGCGGGTAGTGAGAAGAGCTGGTCGGTCCAGCGCGTGGCTTCCCAGCTCAGTGAAATAATCTCTACATGAAGATGAAGCAATTTGTGGATCTCCAGGTTGAGATCAGTTGCTATTGGCGTGGCCCCCACTAAATGCATCCCTGTGCTTCTTCCGCTGGCCCAGCAGCAGCTGTGAATTAATAGATGCAAGGAAATGTGTGAAGTTAGGTTGCAAACTCTTTGGGGCAGGGATGGGCTTTTTGCGCTGGGTTTGTGCAGCACTGAACAGAGCGGGGTCCTGGTCCGGGACTACGGCTCCTGGTTTCTGCAGTGAGGCCATAATAAATAATCACCATGTTATCGTGCAGTGATACCGGTGAAGAAAGGATGGGCCTGATTCACTGCTGCTCTACGGGATATGTGGTGTTTCCTTTGCATCGGCACCACGTGAGCGCCAACTGCTACCTTTCCAATTCACTAGTGTTTCGCACTCACTTTGCACAGAGGTGGGACTAGGTGGCCATCAAGGTCCCTTCCACCCTTCGATTTCATGAGCGCGTCAGTACAGGTTGGAGCTGAATGGGGTCCCTTCGTGTTTCATCCCGAGCTGAGGCTACCGTGCATTTACGATCTTGTTCGACAACAAAAAAGTCTGTCAATATTCCCTCCACCTGACTCAGGGAGAAGTAGCTCCAGGCTTCTTGAAATGGCTTCAAAAGGATCAACGTGCATCTGTAGATGAACAGGAAGGAGGGATGGCTGTCTTCAATGTGAATTTACCACCCCAAACATGATTCTCCTTGTTTGGGAGTTACCCCAGCCAATGCCCCTGTGCGGCTGGTGCACAATCATGCACAACGCTACTACAGTCGTTAGTTCTGCTCTTGACTCTGATTCAAGCATCCGTACAACCGAGTGACTGACTCCAGCCCTGCAGAGGATGATTCCCGATGCACTGACGGTGATGGGGCCAGCTCTGATCTCTTATCTGTGGGAGTCTGATGGACCTTGACGCCGGAAGACGAAGCGCTACGGGCTTTTTAAAATGGAAAATGCTACATCACTGTCTTCTTTACATAAAAAGCTCTGAGTCACAAAAAGATTGCTCAGTGCTTTTTAATTGAGTCCAAAATCCCTTCACAGGCCAGGGTTTAAAATCCTGCTTGTGAGACTTTGATTTATTTTATTTTTATTTATCTTGACTCCTGCATTAAACCACTCACAGTAAAAGTCGCCTACAGAGGGCTCGAGGTGTCGCTGTCATCAATCAGAGATACAAATGCTCCTGCAAGCCCAGCTGCTGCCCCCAAACCAAGGAGAAATGGAGAAAAAAAATCAAACCCATCATACAACCCTAAATACAGCCACCAAAGTCTCTAAAAGGCCAAATCCTACTCCTCCCCTTAGGTGTCTAAGTGAACTTGGGCATCTACCTGTGATTCTAGCCCACCCTGCTCGAGCCCCTGAGAGCCATTAACACTGCTATTTTAGTAACGTGCCGTCGTTTTTGCCTTAAGACTAAATAACGAAAACGCAGTGAGGAAGGGGAGGATGACCCGCCATTTGAATTCACAGTTTATCGGGGATTCAAACAGGGTGGACTAGGACTGCGCTTAGGCAGATGGATGGACTAGAAGCCGGCTCTGAGTATTTACAGGATCAGGACCTAAATATTAGGCACTAACAGCAGGTGTTAGGGCAGGGGTGTGGGGACAGTCACAGTGACTCAATTCAGGCATATGCAGGTGTTTTTCTTTTATCTCAGTGTAAAAATGCCATTTCTCTCTCATTGCAGGCGACATGTCTGATGTCTAAGCTCCCGTAGCATTGTTTGAATTGAACTAATAGGGTAAATCTGTAGGTCTAAGAATTACAAAAGGGCTTTGATCAACCTCAAAATAAATAGGAACATAGGAAGCAGTATTCAGTGCAGACCAAGCCAGTAGCCAGTCTAGTCCAATATCCTAACCCGAACAGTGCCCAGTAGGAGAGGGAAGGCTGCTTTGTGGTTAAGCCATGAGCTAGGGCTTGGGATCATTTGCTGTGTGCTGCAGACTGCCAGCGTGACCTGGGGCAAGCTGCTTTCTCTCTCTGTGCCTGGGAAACTGGAAGAATAACACCTCCCTTTGGTGTCTAACCTCTCATCTGGTTAGAAAGATTGTCAGGGCAGAGCATGATAGGGCTGGGGGCTTGCTGGGGGCTCTGCTACTGTAGGAAGAGCAATAATATTTCAGTAATAATAGCAGGGGGCAGACAGGGCAATGCCTCCACGTTTCCCCAGACACGGGTACAGAACTGGCAGCGTCCCAGCCTCTGAGAGCCGCTCGCAGTAAAGGGGAAAATCCCATAGTAAATAAGGGGCTCCATGAAGGAACAGGGTTAAAAGGCCACATCACAAGATGATGTGTTCGTTTGCTCCTCTGCTGGCAAGCAAGGGATTCAGTCTCACAAGAACAGCTGTGGCAGGAGCCCATCAGGGTGCAAGTGCCAGCAACTGGAGTCATAAAAGTCCTCCGAAGCCAACCTCCCTGCAGTAGGAGCGAAATCAATAAGGAATGATATTAGGGAGCCTGGCTTCAGCTCTCAACTGGGAGGCTGGCTTGTTTCATGCCAGAGTTTTCATTTCCTCTCTAAAGACTGCTTGTGACTGCTGGCCCTGGAGCATGACAGAGCTGGTGATTCATCCCTGTGCTGCATAAACCAGGAAATCAAGGGCCTGGCCATACTACACATTAGTGCTAGTCTATCATACCTTGGCTTTCTATGTCAGTGTAAGTTACTCGGGGGTCTGGAGAAGGCAGATGACCAGTTGAAGGTAGTTTAACAGCAGCCTTCACCTCCCTGCAGGGGGGTCCAAAGAGGATGGAGCTGGGCTGGTCTCAGTGGGGGCAGATGATGAACAAGGAGCAATGGGCTCAAGCTGCATCAAGGGAGGTTGAGGTTGGATATTAGGAAATTCTCTGTCACTAGGAGGGTGGTGAAGCACTGGACCAGGCTCCCCAGAGAGGTGGTGGACTCTCCATCCTTGGAGGTTTCTAAGACCCAGGTAGAGAAAGCCTTGGCTGGGATGATGTAGTTGGGGCTGGTCCTGCTTGGAGCAGGGGGTTGGACTAGATGTGACCTCCTGAGGTCCCTTCGACCCTCATTTTCTATGGGGACCTATACACGTGCTGGACGTCTGCTCCAACACATGCTAATTAGCATGCGTAGGAGCAGACACGATTCATCGAAATTAGCACGCTCCAACAGCCTCTCCATCACATGTATTCAGTGTCCCCATGCTTCAAAATGGTGGTGGGGCACTGTAACTGAAGCTTGTCTAAAGAGCTTTAGCTAAAGTGCCCCCACTGCCATTTTGAAGTGCAGGACGCTGAATGTGACACTGCAGGTGCTTTAATTAGATCGGATATTGGAGGTTGTCTAATTAAAGCACTGGGTGGCACACATTGAGGGTTACAGATTGTACAGAAAGGACAGGGTGGGGAAGAGATGGGGTGGGGTTGCGCTCCATGTCAGTGAGCAATATACATCGACCCTCATCAAAACTGAATCAGAGGAGGAGAAAGTAGAAGGATTGTGGGTTAGGTTACATGGAGGTCAAGCAGAAAGGGATTTGGTGGTAGGGGTCTGCTACAGACCCCCACATCAAGGGGAAGAAATAGATGCGGGGCTCCTGAGGCAGCTGTCGGAGACCATAAAAGCTAAAGAGGCGGTAGTCATGGGGGACCTAAACTACCTGGACATCTGCTGGGAGTCACAGACAGCAAAGTCCCACCGCTCACGCAGGTTTCTATCCTGTGTACAGGACCTCCACCTGACACAGGAGGTACACGGTCCCACTAGGGGGAATGCCTTACTGGACCTGGTATTGGCAACGGGGGATGACATGGTAGGGGACCT